GGATCCTACGATGCAGAGGAAGCAAGCGACTTTTCCCACCATACTCAAACGTTCCTTCAGGAAGATGGCCGAGAGGACTGCAGTTAGGACGACGGACAGGGCACCGAGAGGAGTGACGAGGATGGCATCGGTAAAGGCGTATGCGACGAAATTGCAGATTTCTCCCACAATCATCAAAATCATGCCGGTCCACCACCAGGCATTCTTGAGATAACCGTAGCCCTCGCCAGGGGCCTCATTGTACTTTTCGTTGGCCTTCAACAAACCGACCTTCTTGATGACGAAGGAGCAGCCGATGAATGCGCCAGATGCGACGGCCAGGGAGATACCGATAGCTTTGTACGAGGCTGGTCGCGTTGAGGTATCTGATGAGGAGGAGCCCATTCGGGCGTAGATTTCGTGGGCTGCCACAAGCAATTCTCCTGATTGTTCCATGGCGGCGTGTGCAACGCCGGCGACGTGGTCGCCGGGGTGATGTATTTGGAGGGGCTTTCGTTACTCGAGATTCGTGGTCATTCGCTTAATTTCGTTACAATGCGCGGGGATCAGAGGCGAGCTTTCTGGACAATACAGCAAGGACAACCGGCATAGGATACTCGTAGTCGAATGTGATGGACTGATCGTACGGGTGAAGCGTTGGCGAGAAAAAGCAGGTAGGCGGCGTCAGCAGTCGGAAAAAGCGATTGTCAACAATCTTGACAAAGCTTCAACGGCGGCGGGGAGCGGGTGGGTTTTGGGCGTCGAGCCGATATGGCACGGAGGCGTGCAGGGGTGCGCAATAGGAGCAGAGGGCGCTGTGATCGGTATGATCGGAACAGGAGTCTAAAAGACAAGACCGTCGGTGACGGGGAGCCTTTTTTTCGCGGAGACTTGTGGGAATTGGTGAGGTCGGGGGGCTCGAAGGAGGCTGTGTCGAGATGCGTCGAGTAAGAAGTGTTCGCGCAGTGGGAGGTAGGGTTCAGGTGGTGTTTACAGCGGGAGCTTGTCTTCGCCACAGCAGCTTGCGTCAGCCCGCTTGCATGAAGAGCTGAGGAGGTTCGTTCGTAAAAAAGGTCGTGAATTCGTTAGGTCGAGATCAGAGAAAGCGAAGCTATGTTGTTCTAGGACATGTGCAGGAGCAAAGAATACACATGCAGAACACCGCAGACAGGCTCGAGTTCAGTCGGAGTGCAGGCGGACAAGGCACGGTCGTCTCGCTGCAGGAAAGAGCACCTTTCTGAGAAATCAGGCAGGTGACGAAGCGGCGGGAGCTCAGCTGATAAGAGAGACAGAGCGTAGGTAACGGGGAGAAGAAAAGAAAGTGACAGACCCAAGACATGAAATTGCAGAAACGGACTCGATGGCTGGGTGGACAGTGGGACATTCGTATGGGAAAGCGCAAAACACCAGCAGCAGCAGCAGCGGCAAAAGCCAGACAAACGTGCGCTGAGCTGGACTGGACTGGACTGGATCATGGATGGGACTGCGGGCTGGGATTTGGGATGGAAAAGAACACGACGGACAGGGTGGTGCTGGTCTAGAAGCCCGGCCTTTTGGCGGTGCTGATTGGACACAAACGAGTGTGTGGGTGGACTTTGGTGGGGGGCGGGCTCGCTGTGTGTGGTTAGCGCCTTCCCGCAGCGCGGGACGCACCCTGTTCTTGGAAAGAGATGCAGTGGAGCCCAGGGGCTTTCCTGCCACCTGTGTCAGTGTTCTGCATCCAGTCCCGTCGCTGTCGTCGTTCTTTTTACCTTAGCCTTCCCCGGTGCAGTTGCTGCGATGCACCCGTGTAAAAATAAAATGAACTGCCACTGCCTTGTTGGTAGACACCAGGTAGGTAGGTACAGACAGCTGAGGTGGATGACATCTTGAGGTAACACTGTGAAGGCAGCAAATCTATGGCACTTTGTCCTCCTCAACACCTCCAGTGAGGTAAGGATGCATATCGCGGACAGACACCGTCGTCGCAACACTGCATTGGATTGACAGACAAACCTTCACAAGCCTTGCCATGCGCATAACACAACGATATGCACACCACATCTTTCCGTCTTTGGTCGGACCATCCCACCAGTTTCCGTCGAGGGAACGAGGGAATGCGAACACGCTGCTTGTGCCGCACCAACACCGCCATCCCCGGCAGGCTTGATCCCAGCGTCGGTCTCGAACACAGGCCTTGGTTCTCGCTCGTCCTTCTTTCTTCGCCACGACAAACTTCTGCTGGCCGTACTCGTGCTCGAACTGCAACTGCAACTGGCACTGGCACCAACAGGTGCTGCAGTCCGTCCCGTGTTGTCGCCATGTTTGTTTCGCAATATTCTCGAAAATTATGGACTCGGCCACCAGACGAAGGCGCCAACCGCGGCCCCTCAACGATGTCGCCCCGTTTCTCCTTGCGACGCCTGTTTTGCTCAAGCCACCAACGCCATCACCTCTTTGGCTGTCATCGCACATGGGGTTCCCCCAACTCTGAACTCTGATACGATGCGACACACGTCAATCCGCGTTCAACAGAAGTCAGTGGCCTTTTGCATCTGTGTGGGTGCATACGTCGTCCGTACTCTGTTCAGTTGGTTCCAAGGTTCAGATTCAGAATACCGTGCCGACAGAGAGGGCAGCGCTCGACAACGTCGCATCAAGCATCCCGGCCGGTGATGTCAAGACCAGCCAGCAATGTGGCTCTCTGCAACGGGTGATAGGTCCGTGTCGCTTCAACGTGCGACAACCAAGTCCAATTTACACCCCTGCTGCCTCGCCCTCCATCGCCCTCCTCCTCGCCGTGGCAACGGAAACAAGCCTTGCGCCAAGGTCAACAATCCATTCCAGCAACACTCGACTCGACTCCATCACCACGTTTGTCCCGCGTTGTTGTCTTATCCGTGGTTTGAGATGAAGAACTTCAACACGATGGGTGGAATGATGGAAGAGGAGCACCACGCAGCTGAGCTCATCCCAGGAGCAGCCCACTTGGCTCATTGAACACTCGCCGCTGCTGGGATGATGCACCTCTGGCTGAATTGCTTCAGCTGAGTGTGCCCAATCGACCCCACCACTAAGCCCGACCTCCATCGTCCCCAACCTAGTCGGTACGTACCTCTCTCTTCCACAATGTCACTCCGCCAGAAACAGCGAGGATTCGCTCATCGCCTCCCCCTCAAGCTGACATTCATTGCCAGCTGTCGACCATTGGCTGCCGACTGAGCCCCTCCACCTCCATTGACCCAGCAAGCAACAAGCAATAAGCAAAAAGCAAGCGAGTCAACTCCAGCTGCACGCGCCATGCGTTGGCCGCGACCGATTCAAGGGACCCTTTCACCTGCACCAACTGTGTCACAATTCTCGGCCTGCATCTGCCTGCCATGCATGCCAGACGGATCTCTTACCGGCGCTTCCCCATTCTTTCAGATCGCTGGGATCCGACAACCACTCTCGAAGGGATCTGCCCGCCGTCTGTCCAGTTCCGCGACGGGAAACCGTCACGGGCCTCGACCAGATGGCAACCTCTGTCAACGTCGCCTGTACCAGAATTGTTCGGTGTGATGACCTTTCGCGAATTGGAGGCCTTCGAGGGCACGGTGAAATACGACTATCCTCATTTCCAGATCTGATTTGCGGGATTCCTCCAGCCCCTCGGATGAAAATAGGTCGCACTACCGTCTGCGGTAAGCCATCTCAGCACGGTTAACACGGCGGGATGGCAGAACGCCTCAACGCTGGTCTAACCTCCGTCTGTCAAGCTTGTTGGCATAGCCTCTGCGGCGCGAGCTGCACATGAACAGCCTCTCGATGCAAGCCTCGGGGACGCTGTCAGCAGCCCGGGGCTTACCTTGCAGATGGATGCGCGTACGGATTTAAAGCACTTGTTGATGAGAACACGAGATGTCGAAGGCATCCTTGCTGAGGGGCATTTTAGGTAGTCAGACGCCCAGTCCAGCGATTCGACGTTTTACCTGCCAAACAAGTTGGAGCAGAAATCAGTCGAGAAATCACAACATTCCATCCGCCGTCGGTGAAAGCCGCGACCAACATCAGTCTGCAGGCCGTTTTGGTCATCAACATCTCCAATTACCTTACCAAAAGTTTGATGATCAGCGGATCCTGTTTCGCGCACAGGACGGATCTACAAGAAACAAGGCGACATTCCGTGAGGCTCGTGCGGGGCCCGGGATCGGCCCTCCACGGCTCTTGCCCGCCGCGGGACGTTGGAGCCGCTCCCGAATGTCTCGGCGTTTTGCCCGACCTCAACAGTATCAAGAACGTGACTCGCCCGGTACCAGTGGAAGTTTCAGCAATCAAAAAATCTCTTCGAAACATCTTTGGGCGCAATGCCGACGCCTTGGCCGACATGAGAACTTCCAGACGGCTTGACTCCTCCGTTCCGGATAATTGATCGTCTTGCCAAGCCATCAACTCGCAGCTCTGCGAGTTTTGGCAGAGATGGCATGCCAGCCCTACGAAAGGAAAGCGGCATCAGTGATCATCAAGAAAAGATGCTTACGATAGGTGTCCTTATGCCAATCAAGCCCTCGGCAATTGTGGAAAGATTCATGGGGAGCCTGCCGCTTTTTCAGCCTGTTGACCAGCAGCGTGACCTGAAGGCGGTCTCGTTGGCTGGGCTGGGCTAAGGTCTTCTACGCTGCCCGGCAACACCCAGCTGTTCCTATTCGCCATGATACGCCAAATCAGATCTCGATTCCCAAGAACACGAAAACTCAAAACCAGGATAATCGCCAACCTCCCAGGCCACACAAAGACGCGATCTTGGGCATCAAAGTTGGAGCAACCGGCACTGCCGGAAGCTCATCACAAAGCCCCACAGCCCAACCACATCAATTGAGCTGGCAAACCACAGTATCTATCGGTCAGCAATGATCCAGCTACCGATTACGTTCGGCTCTGCAAAGTGCACTCGGCCCGCAGAGGCTTCCGTCGCTCCAACCATGGCCGGCTGGCTTTTCTCCACACCTTCGTCCACACTGGTGTCGTCGCCGAGGCCGATGTTACGGCCCAGGAACCTCGTCTCAATGAATGATCAGCTCTTGCTCCCGAGGCTGCGTCTCGTGGAATTCCCCTTGCATAATGCCATCGACATAGGAATCGCCTCTGAAGTAGTATCCTCCTTCATCTCGCGGTCGTAGAACGATCGGTGACCCAACTCCCCACACGAGGGTTACCACATCCCCAGGCGCGACCCCGATGTGACCGAGCCCAAACATGCCCTTTCTCGTCTTGAAAGGTGTTCGAGACTTACGGCTAATGTCAAAATACACCCTCCATCGAAGTCTATCCGCAAGACGTTCCGTCTCCTCAGCCTTCACAGGCTCGACGCTCGTCAGCGCCTCACCATCCCACATCCCCTCGCCGCGAAGAAACTTGAGACCCTCTATCGACAAGCTCTCCACGTCAAGAGGCTCTTTTCGCATGACTTTGCGAAGTATCTGAGGTACGTCATGCATCTGGCCGTCAAGATACATCTTCCAACAAAAATGGAAATGACCGGCGTACCCGTATACGACGGTCCTACAGACGTAATCCTCTCCTGGGCCCGATTCCGGACCCAGACCGACAAAGTCAATAACGGACGCTGCCCACTGGTTCGACGTTTCTGTAGCAGTCATTTCTGAGGCCCGCGCCAGCGGCTGGAGCACTTCAATAACCTCGTCAACGATACATCCCCGGCGATGGAGGGCGCTGCCCTTTTGGAAGCCCGCAGACACGTCTCTTGTAGACTGGCATTTTCCTCCGGCAGCGGAGAAATATTTCTCGCCGTGGTTGATCGGGTATGGCCTAACGCCGGATCGGCCGATCTCGCGGAAATCGGGAACCCACGTAGGCAGCTCCCCTTCGGTTTCTCCAGGCTTCACAGAGTCGAGGTTGAAATACGATGGAGCAGAGCCTTCTAACATGGCCCTTGTCGCCCGCGTGAATACCTCTGTGACGGACTGCGTATAATTCAACTCCAAGCCCCGCTTCTCCTTCTCATTAAGCAGGCCGAGAAGACCAATGAGAAGATCTCGCGGGTCGGATGCAGCATAGTGAGGTCGATCCGGCGCGGCGCCCGTCTCCCATAACACACGTCTCAGCAGAGGCTCACGGAGGCCTTGACGGAGCATGCCTTGAACTTCGAGTGCTTTGGTAGGGTATAATGTCATGCTGTGCTTCAGGATGGTAACTCTTCCAACGTATCACATGGTCGTTAATGCGGCATCAAACACGTCCAGTGAGACTCTCCTGCCGCCTACCATAACCACCGCCTCCCGTGCGAGGGCGACTTCTTGTATGACCCAGATCCTGCACCAATAACTTCGATGTAGAATGTCAGATAAACCTGGAACCAGGGCTTTGCCGTTCTCCTGATACTCTGTGAACAAGTCCACGGCGGTGGCAGCTATTTCTGTCGCCGGGCCCATTTCGACGGTGCTTTGCTCATCAGGTTCTAGCTGACCCATGACAAACTTGCGTAGACTTAACGTCTTTTCACCGTTAGACGGCAGATCTAACGCATTACACGCATAAAGCCTGGGCCCATATTTGGAAACGATATCCATCACCTGATCTGTCTCCTCGGTACCGGGTCCGAGCCAGATGTACACCGTCGCGGCGTTGCTAAAGATGTCACGCATCATGCCGACCTGATGGGTCTTCTCTTCCAGGTCGGACTGTTCGATACATATGGCGTCGATCCAGAGCCACACGCTGACTCCATTCCGACTGAGTTGTTGCAGGGCATCGTGCAGGTTTTGCGTGACAAAGAAGGGCTGGCCATTGATCTCGATCTGGTGCAATTCAGATGAGCTGCCCCAGACGTACGAAAGCGCGCTGTATGAGGCCTCCTCGTCGCCCAACGACACCGTCCGGAGCTCGAGGGAGAGAGTGAAAGTCGCATGAGGCTGCCGGAGGCGGACTAGCCTGATCTCGCGACGGTCGGGGTCGAGGTGGTTGTGAACGGCCATTTGTGACAATGAAATCGGCTACGAATGCAAAAGTTGAAGTGCTCTACGTAATTTCGAAAGGCAGTGCGAGAATGATGGTTATGAAGATGCTGAACCTCTGAGGCAAGGTATCGGTTCGTAGGTGAGATGGATGTTTGTTCCTGGCATGCAGCTAGGCACCAACATCAACGACACTACAACGAGCGTGATTGGTTACTTTCGAGCGTTATATCCAAATCCATAGAAAAATGTACAAATGAGCAGTACAGTTGATGGAATGCGCTCTTACTGCATCCTTCTTCCCTTCTAACTTTTCCTTCGCAGTTTGTTACTGCAGATTTCTTCTCTCTGGCTGCGAACCCATCATCTACGACGATGCTCCGGTTTGAATGTTGAAAGGTCCGGAACCCCAGCAAGCTAAGAGGCCACCATTCAACTATTTACTCCCCCAAGAATCACTATTACATCGTCCAGAAACTCCTATATGCAATGAAGGATTTCAATTAATGGACTCTGTGTGTCTTGGTCGTGTTTCAAGTCGAGCAAAGACATGATTGGGAGGTGACGACGGAATAATAGTGGCTTAAAAACAACGCTTTGTTCAACCCGATTAGTCATTGCTATTGAGCAACGTGGCATATCAAAAAATGACAGCGTTGTTGTTTTAAATATGCAGAGAATCAAGGAATCACTTCCAGTCTGAAGAAGTGTCATTCAGTCGCAGTTTGAAGAAGTTTGTACGTCTCGACTCCATCCTATCGGTCCCCTCGGCAAGCAAGAACGCGCCCTAGAATCAACTCCCTACCCCTTACGCCCTTGGTAAAAACTTTAGCTGATGAACGTTTGCCAACTCAAAACGTTCATGGATGGAATTGAAATATTGGAGATGTTGATTAATCACTAATTCTTTCGAAAACAGCCGGTGGGATCGTATTCGGTCCTGCACGGAGTCCGAGGCCTTGACATGTTGAATACTATCCCACTACAGCCTAATAACGTCATTCTGACGGTTTCAAGCTTTAAAGGCGAGTTGGACATCAACGACACCGCGGATGAGGTCCTCTAAAGATTTCCACTTCATCCCAAGAATCTCGTCCGCCGCTTTGGTCACCGCGCTCATGGTCGGCGCACCCTCGACCGGGGGTTTAAGCTTGTAGTCGGCGGCGGGATAGAGTTTCTGCACCACCTCCGCAATCTCGTTCCACGATGTCGTGACGCCGGAGACGACGAATTCCTGGAAGTCCGCCGGGACGGGCGCCGTCAGCGCGCGGTAAAAGGCCTCGGCGACGTCCCTGACGTCGACTAGCACGGGAGGGAAGGTGATGTTGCCGGTGCGGACGGCGTCGAGGAAGAGATAGTTGATGCTGTCGATCTCTTCGGCCTTCTTCTGGAGGAGGCTTGGTCCTGTTACGAAGCTGGGGTGGAGAGTCAGGACTTTGAAAGAGGGGTTGTTCTTTTTGACCCAGTCTTCCGTTGCTTGGTGCGCGAGGATCTTGGAGCCTTGGTATTTCATGGTGTGTCCTGGGAGGCCTTCGGGAAACTCCATGTTGACGTCAACAGGAAGATCAATACCAGCGCGCTCTGAAACTTGGTTAGACAAATCGTGTAGCCAGAGATGAAAAGCATTTTGGTAAAGTTACCTCGAACGACTAGGCCGTCGCCAGCCATTGAGAAGAGAGCTTCCAAAGGTAGCAACGCGAGGATGGAAGACGTGATCAAGACCCTCTTGACGGACGGCGTCGCCTTGGCGGCGTCAAGAACCGAGAGCGTGCCCTGGACGGCAGGATTGATGTAGCCCTCTTGGAAGTCCGCGCCCTGGCCTACCATGGGCGATGCTACGTGGATCACATAGTCCACGCCGACGACAGCATCGGCAAACGCATTTGTCTTTGTGAAATCGGGGATGAGAATGAACTGAAGCTGGTCTGCGAATGTTGGAAAAGCTTCTTGGAGCTTCTGAATCTGTTCTTCACGGCGAACGCTCAGTCGGACGCGGTAGCCTGCTTTTAAGACGGAAGATGCAATCTGAGAGCCGATGAAGCCGGTGGCTCCGGTGATGAAGATGAGTGAGGCGGGCATGTTGTTGGAGTGAAGGTTCCAGGCGGGAGATAGCATTCGTGTAGAGATGGTCAGAGTCGAGGATGAGTGAGTTACATATCGTGCACTTTATACCTTTGACACAAGAGAGCCAGCAACAGAATCATGGACCCCTATCCGCCAGCCATCCGAAGCTTGGCACTACCATCTCTCGCAATTCAGACGCCGATGTTTTGCACACAGCAGGACCTCATACTTTGACGTTGGCAAGCTTCCATGTAACAATTCGTCCGAGCTCCCCGTGTACAGGGATTCCTCTCTACCCACTCTCGAGCATTTCGTCAGAGTAGTGAAGCCAAAGATTACTGATCAGCTAGCGGTGGCTCCGGACAACACAAAACCACCCAGACCGGCGACCGCCCGTCGGAAATATTTATAAGCGCTCCTGGGGTTAAACTTTCCAATCGTAATTTTGTCCCAAAAGCTTACAAAATCGGCCGTTGTGACCGTGATGCTTCCGCTCATCCAGCTCATACAGGATATCCCAGTGGGCGAAGCTTGGCATAGATCTCTTCTAAGCTAGCCGGCAGTACATGCCCATCCTCACCGCCGTCCTTGTTTTCTGCTTCTTTTTTATGTTGCTGTTGATCTTCGTCCTCGTGATTCTTCTCGTCACTGTCAGTACCTAGCTGCCAATACTGAGGACTCCGCTGCCCCTCGTATTCGTAGATCCCTCCCCCAATCTTGCGAAGATAGCCGTCCATTTCAATTGATGGAAGCCAGACTGGAGAAGGCAAGATATCTCCACACTTGCTCCAGCAGAGGGGAAAGCACTCCTTTTGAGGTAGCTGTGACCCGTCTCGACTTGCTCTCCCTGGGAAAGGCAAAGCGTCACCCACAAACATCTCCTCCACAAGTTGCCAAATTCGGCGTCGATTGTGCAATCCAGGAGGTACATGAGAGAGATCACTGTGGTAGCCCGTGGTGGCCATTTGATGAACGAGTAGCTCCCCGCGTTTAGGACGGTCTAGTCGAAGACCGTAGTCTACCCCGCGACTGAGTTGTCGAACTAAGAGTTCCCAGTCCCATTCAAAGTCAGAACCACCGGGGCAACTCTCGGCATCTTTGGCGTCGATAAGTGTTGGATCAATGTCCCACAGCCATTGAAGGAGACCGCGACCGCCGGCCTTGAGTGTGTTCTTCCAGATCTTCTGAGGTAAGACTCGCGAGGAAACCCGTGGTAGATCTGGCCCCATTGACTTACAGATCTGGTCTAAGACTTCGGCTGGCATCGCAGCCAAATCTGCTATCAGCCGCGTAGCATGGTCACTCGCAAAAGCAACGTTTGAGCGACACTGCTGCAGATTTTTCAAAAGGCATTCGGTTAGTCCGTCGATCTCTAGAGGGCTGCTCCCCAACGTCTGCAGACCTTGTGTTAGTATCAGCCGTGATTGGATAGATGAACTGTGTGATACGCACATAGAAAAGGTTCGCCCTTGGGGATGAAAAGGGCCCGGGCCAATCAAGTCCAGGACACTCATGCGATGACCATTCAAAGAAAGGTATGTAAAAGCCTTTCGTCCAGATCGTAAAGTTTGGTGCAAAACAACCTCCATGCCGATCTGCACACTTCATTGTTACCGCCTGCCTCCATCTCAATGCCATGAAAAGCCCTCGCAAATCTCGAATATGTGTCGTTTGTGATGTTTTGAAGACAATTTTCGCAATTTCCAGGCATGCGGTGTGAACCAACGCATACGCTCGGCTGTCGAAAGCCCAGTAACGGTGAGAAAAGCAAACCACTTTGTTTGAGGTTTCACCCCACTTGTAGCTGCCGTCAAGCTCCCATCGGGTATACTGGTGTTTGTCTTCAGGCTCTGCGGGATACACCTCAATGTCGGAAGCTTGACATCTTGGTCGGACGCCATGTGAATCTGGCTGGATCGTGGATCTCAAATCGTCGAGGTCGAGATACTCGTCTTCAAGCCCCGGAAGGATTTGTCCAAATTCATCATCGGGATCGCATAGTAAGCGGGCCTCGGCGAACCAATCTAGTTCATTGAAATATTCGGGAAGAGGCTCGTCTTCTGGGAGAGGAGGGTCGTTATCATCGATAAAGCAAGGCGTGCCTCTGACCGAGAGGCCACATATGTGGCATGGCGACATTTCGAAATCCATAACGAGGGCCTCTTCTGAAAGATTTGATATTGGATTTTGAATGCGAGTCAAAATTTGCGTTGGCTCTAGAAAGTGCCCGGGTTTCGAGACGACCAGGAGAAAGGCGAAAGAAAACAAAAGACGGAGATCATGATCAGAACAGACAAAGTGAATGAAGTTAGGGGTCGTTTCAATATCATGCATTCCCCACACTAAAGGCTGAAGCTGACCGTCAGGCTTGGGGGCTGTTGGTCCAGGACATGCATGAATACGAATGATGTATGTTTTTGGCTGAGACGAGCGACTTTGTTGCCAGCGGCAAACTGCATTGCCCCACACAATATCATGTATCCTTGCAAATAGTAAAAATAGAAAGCCTTGGGGGTCGCGTCTTTCTGCAAATTCTGGGTGCGCTGTCTGCAGCCTTTCCGAGGCGCCCGTTGTGTGTGTGTGATCAGCTGCGCATCTCAGGGGGTTCGGCCCCCATTTGCCTTCCAGGAGAACAAGCTCGCCACGGGAGTCGGTGTTACTTCCCCTGGAATTGATCATGCAACTGCGGTCCATCTTGTTGGTCGTATGATCTCCAATATGACCCCAACGCTACTTGGAACTTGGCAGAATCAACATTCAATGACATCGACATCGACTAATTTGCGCGGACTCATTTTGGGTAGCCGAGAGAAAGCAGTTTGGCGATCAATTTCAAATTGTCACGAACAGGACCTTGTAGTGATATAGCTACCAAACCACTGGCTCTGTGAACCGCAGGAAGCGTGGTGTTCTTGTGCTCCGCAACGGACGTTTAGACGGAATACCTTTTTCCGAAGTCTGTAGCATGATGAATCTGCTATACAACACCCCGCCATCCCCGGTGGAACTTGTTGGGAGAGCCCGAAAGCTCACATCTGCACAAGGCAGGGAGCGCAAACGAAAAGGGCTTACCGCCCCAACCTTAAGTGGATGGGGGCTGTTGGTCTTTGGTTCTTCTTGATATCCAGTCAGCCAGTCTTTGCGGAAGCGCGAGATGTTGTTGGTACTAAATTAGAATGGTCGGATCAATCATCAATACTACAATGAGAACATAAAAGGCTGGTGGACGCAGAAATTGCACATCGTATCCCTTGTGGTTTGATGCTTCACATCTTCACAATATCCCTCATCTATCACAGAGTTTGAGACTCAAGCCTTTCTAAAAACTTTCTCTTCCAACGCTGGTGCTCAGCATGAAGCTTTCCTACGTTGCATGTGCGCTTGTCGGCGCCTCCTCTGTAGCGGCTTCCAATGTCTATGAATACGACGTGGGTTCACAGGAAAGCCAGTCTGTGTTCCTCCACAATCCCCAGGAAACCCACAGCATCGATCAAGGCTTTGTGGCTGCGAGAGACAGCCCACCAATCTCAGGAGAGGCGAGCTCTCTTACTACGACATTCCCTACCCCCAGCCTCGCTGGCAACCTGTCCCGAGTTCTGATGACACCGACAACCCGTCAATGGATCCCCGAGATTGGCACTAGCAGCCAGAACACTACTTTTCAGCACCCTGCCTCCTCTCTTTGGTCTACTGTCAACAGTGAAGCCTATCCAGCAACGACTCAAACCATTCATGATTCCCATAAGACGACTCAACATGTGCCAACCACTCCCGCCATACACCACACTCCAACACCAGTGTCCACAATGACCACGGTGCCACCAGAGCTTCTTATTCAGACTTTGACAGGTTCTGAATGGAAGGAGAATACCTGGATCACGACGACTGGGTCTGACGGTTCTCCCACCCTGGTTCCTGTGATTGTCGGATGCCCTGGTTGCAAAGATCGTAGCGGCGGGGGCTTGCTTCTCTGGAACCTTCCGCAAATACCCAACGTATCTTTCAAGTTTCCCAATATCCCCAATCTACCTCAGTTCTTTCTACCATGCGTAAAGATTCTGTTTGTGGAGATAGGAAACTGCCCTGGCCCCGTGACCGAGTCGACAGACGACGGCAAGCAGCAAGATGATAAGGAGAGCAATTCACCAACTCCTTCGCAGACGCCATCGAAAACCCAATCAAAGACAACATACTCCTCGGCAGTTTCCTCAACAGAAGGCTGTGAAGTCATACGAACAGCTAGTCATTGCGTAGCCACGTGTAGCCCAACAACGATCGACCGTACTAGCACCGTTACCTGTTTCACAACAGCATGTCACGCGACCATCACAGGTTGCAGTGCCAGCGGGATCACATCTAGCACGACCAAGATGCCATGCCCAACCCACGACCATGCCAACAACGTTGACAGACGCGACCTCGGAGGCGACAGCTGCCCAATGAACTGCCCACAGTGGAGCCTCTACGACTGGAAATCTTCTGATCGTGTCGAGGATGATCAATCCGACGCCGAGAAGAGAGATTTTGCACTGGCTGGACGTATCTTGGTTTCTCGTGCAGACAAATCAAACGTGAGAAAGATTGGAGAGTGTCGAATCGAAACTGCATGGCCGGCTGGTAAACCAGTGGCGACACCTGCATATGCCTCAGGCCCAGAGTTTCTAGAAGCTGACCAAGGCGGGTTCATGAACGTCGATGAATCGAGGAGAAAATCGAGCATGGAAGTGCCGAGATGGTATAGCTTAAGGAGTGCTGAAGCACCGGCTTGCACTCCCTCGACTGTTACACTCAATACACAAGATATGTATAATGTCATGCAACGCTTGAAGAAGAGCGAAGAAGAGCACAAAGGCAAAAAAGACGAATCAGCGTTTCTGTTCAACAATCAACCCGACAGGCCTTCGTTGGATCATCTTTGGGAGAAGAATTGGGCGACGGATTTCTTGCTCAAAAGTGTCCTGGACGACGGCAACGCAGCTGCTCCTTTGGCTGACTCGCCAGGTGGCAAAGCTGGAAAGATGAACTGCAAAGACTTCAAAGCCTACATTTTTGGCTCTCATGAAGAGGGGAAAAGAGGCACGCAAAACCTTATCGCCAGTGTCTACAACGCAATGCCCTCCAAGAACAACTTAGAATTCGTTGGAATGACTCAAGACCTCAACGAAAAGGCCAAAGTAAGCAAACTATTTCCCAATTGCACATTGTAATGAATAGCGTCAATCACATACTAATTTGTTCTTCATCACAGGGGCTCCTCTGGAATCCGAGGAATTTGAATCCAGAAGTGGCTGCAAATATGAAAGATGCTGCGAAGCTGCCCGTTGCCGCAGCCTTGAAGGAATTAGATAAGAAGATGAACTTTTTGTTTACTATGCAACAAGGAGTTTGGGTGAGCAACATACCAAAAGCCGTTGAGCTTATGCAGAGAACGAACAATAGGGTGTACAACGAGTTGTGAGTCATCTGTCTTTTGAACACATATCAGCATCTCTGCTAGGTTTGCTTTGATAAAAAATAATGTTAGCTGACCAGGAGAGTATGCAGTATCAAAGCTGATGAGATTCTTGCAAAACAGAACCCTGAGGTGAAAGCTTTGACCCAAGAGGGAGGCTATCTGAACCCACGCTTTCGGCAGCACATGGACAATTTTCTCAACAACCCAGAAACAGGCATCAAAGCACTCGTCATCAACTCTGCGGACTCGATCAAACAGGTTATCGCAACTGGGTTTGAATCACTCAATGAACGAGCTGAGCGTATTTCTAAGGCCGGTCTCACTCAGGACTTTGAGATAGGAAAGAAGAAGTGGGAGTACCTTCGCAACCTACCCCGTTCGACATGGGAGCTACAAATTTCATGGTCATGGCTGAGGTGTGACGCCCTTTCCCGAAGAGATGGGGAGGAGTTCGGTGCGTGCCACTTCGCACCGCCGACGTCAATACCTCCGGAATCGACCATCACATCGTCTCTTGCACCAACCGAGACCAGCCTCCCGACCGATGCCAACACCTTCACAACCACCTCGTCATCTGCTTCGGAGATAATTACAGATCCAGCTGGCTCATGCACAAGAGATGAAGAGTGCAGAAGCATACAATGTTCTGATGGATCTTTGGGTGCCTGCTTGGCTTTGCCGTTGGGGCGAGGTAACGTTTGTGGCTGTCAGCCTCTAAAATGGGAGACTTCTACGTTGTCATACGTATCGACGGCATCTACTGAAACACAACCGCAGACAACGCATACATCGATGAAGACCCCTCCGCCAAAGACTTCGCTACAGAGCAAGCCTTCTTCAACCACAGCCGTCCCACCACGTTGGACTCAGAGTTGCAACCCGGGGGGACTGCGGTTCGACAAGGATGCCGCCACTGGTTTTGTCGAAGAGTATTGTAAGAAAGCCACCTGGGATGACAAATGGTTCGGCGCTGCTACAGACGGGAAGATGGTCAAACAGAAGGGCATCTCGGTATGGGAAAACCAGAACGATGACAAGGTGTCGTCTTTCAGGTTCATCATTCATGCCGTCAAGCCTGCGAACGAAGGCAACAGGAAAGCATGGTGTGACACCGAAGGAAAAGGGTCCCAGCTGAACACTGCTCTGGAGCTACTACAGTCGGACGATGGTGTCCAGGAATGTCGGAAGCAGTTGCAAGAGTTGATCAAGTGTAAGCAAAAGTCTCTTTCGTGATCTTGCGGAGTTTCAGCTGACCCAGATGCAGGCCGACCGGATGCCAACAACGCCGATAGGCCTTCCGGAGGAACTCGCGCCGGTCTCTGTCTTCAATGGACCCTTCAGGTAACGAGGGATGAAGTGTGATCAAATTAGCCTACACCCTAGGGGCCTGCTCTGTAAAGTTTCAAACGGGGTTCACCTTTAGGGTGGATACACCCGACCATCAAAGACTGGATTAATTTTTTTCAGAATTCAGGCTGGGGGTTGACAGACCGATCCATCATTTTCTCGATTGGGGCAAACTTTGTTCGTTCATCAAACGCCTAGCTAGACAACAACTGACTTTCTTTTCTCATCCTGTACTTCTTTCTGGTCAAGACTATGGTCCACAATTTCGTGGGCATCTAAGACCATGTCAATCTCTTGAGCCATGGTTTCAAATCGAGATTCGACTCCCTTTGTAGCCGGAGGAAACCAGAAACTCAGTGCATAATAGGCCAGCCCGCTTACAACAACACTGAGAAGGTATTTCATCTCCCACAAATGTGTCCCCCCAGAGGTTATGTTCACCGTACCGAAGGTCCCGACAAACCCTGGGAAAGGTAATGCTACACCGAGGATCCATGCGGCAATTGCGCGTATATTCCAGCCTTTGTAGTACCAATATCTGTAACTCTCGTTGCCGACGTACAGTTCCGTGATGGAGAAGTTACCGTTGGCGACAAAGAAGTAATCGACGATGCAGATAGCAGCAAATGGTCCCATCAAGATGGAATATCCGGACAGAAAGGTCAGCAAGCTCTTCGCACTTTTGATGATACGCCATGGAACGATAGGAATGTCATCACTGCGCAAAGAACCTGACCCCTTCGAATGTTGATCCAACGAGGGAAAAGACCTGCAATGTCGGAACCGAAAGGCAGAGAGTTTGCAGCCACGTTGGTGCCAAGAATTGCCACGGCAAAGGAGAAAGAGGCAAGAAACACTAGCCCTCTCGATGCCGCGCTCATCTGATAGTAGTCAAGAGCCTCACTTAGAACGTCCCACAAGTTCCAGTAGACCTTTCCCCAGACATTGGAAGTTGCATTGGCCACCAAAATTCCGAACAGCGCAGGAAGAGCGCTGAAGATCGGATAGGTGAGCAGCTGCGACCATGACTGGTCACTCGGCTTCCGATCCCATCAAGTGATATCTGCCTGAGCCACAATAAGCGCCGAGCAGCCCCCAAAACCAGAGTTCAGGGCACTCACCCAGAGCCAACCGTAGTACCCAGAGTTGCTGATCTTAGGGGAAACTTGGAAGCTCGGCCCGTTGGAGCCTCCGTTCAATACGATGGCCCAGATCAATACCGCAAAGCAAGCGGGGCAACCATGCATGACTTGGCGACGAAGATAGGGAAACCGATGTAGTATGGTGCTGGCCCTCGACCATTGGCGACGAGCAGTACGGCGCCGATGATGCGTGAAACAACCACGGCGAGCCATGCGGCGTAGCATGGCATTCCCAGAGCAATCATCGCGCTCCCAGTTGTCCAATTACCAGTCGCAAACGAAGAGGCGAGCCAAAAGGATGTATAGTGTAACCATGTCCAGTTTCGATGGGCAGGTTCGGTTGGGTCGAGATCATAGTTGGACAATACATGCTGGCCACTGCTGCGCTCAGGAGCTGTTTCTGATGTGACGTTATACGGGTTCTAAGGGGCCTCAAGTGTATAGATGTTACGGTCAGCTATTTGATAGTAGGGTCTGCTAATAGAAGCTGGGGATTAATACGTTATAATAGTATACTGAGGTTATGGTTTAAGTTATAGGTTATAGACTATAGTAGATTAGGTCTTTTAGAGGCTAAGGTAATTAGTCTTAGACTTAATAAGTAATTTATAGTAAAAATAAACTAAGAGTATTTATAAAGATAAATACTAAGTTAATTACTAAAGAACTATAGAAGTCTAATTTTAAATAAAACTTAGGTTATACTATATATAAGTTTTAAATAATCCTCTTATTCTTATTACTATTCCTTAGTTTAATAGAGTTTATTTTACTAAGTATAGTTTCTATATCCTTAGTATATAGATCTAATCTTTTATCTTATTATTATATAACTTATACTATAGTTTTTTTATTTCTAAGTAAGTCCCTACTATCCTTATAATCTTATAGTATAAATATCTTATCTTAGCTACTTAACGCCTAAGTAGGTTAGTTATCTATTATTTATATATAATAGGTTATAATATTAAGTCCTCTCTCTAAAGGTTTTATCCTTAAGACTTAATATAAGTAGGTTATTAGTCTTAGGTTAGGGATCTATTAATTATACTTTTTAATTTACTTATAATACTAATATTATATTAGGTTATATTTAAAAATTAAACTAGTCTAAGTTAGTACTACGTTCTACTTATAAAGATATCTTCTATTATTTTAGTTTTAATAACATTATACTTTATACTTATTATTTCTATATAAAGTATATATATTAGATAGCTAAGGGTGTAAAAACTTATTAAGGTTATAAAAACCTAAAGTATCTTTATTTATAGTAAAAAGGTTAAGTAATTAGTATTAAAAGTAGGAAGAGAAAGAAGAATAGGTTAGTAATACTTTATTAGACCTTTATAAGAAATTAGTATAAGTTTAAGCTAAAGTAGCTAAAGTAGTAAGTTATTTATTATATATTTATATAATTTAAAAGAAAGTAAAGGAGTATTATATAGAAATATTTTCTTAAGGTATATAGGAGTTAGAGGAGGATAATATCTTTCTTATACTAGATATATATAAGAGTAATATAGTAAGTAATCTTTAGTTTTTTAATATTAAGAATAACTTAGATTAATAAAGCTTTAATATTAGTGAGGAGTTTATAAGTTTTAGTCTTTTAATTAGTAGTAATTAATTAGTATCCTTAAGTAGTTTTTAGTTATATTCTAGTATTCCTAGTTAGATAAATAACTTTCTTTATTTTAGTTAGTTTATTTCTATAATAAGTTTAATATACTTATATAGGGGTTAGATATATAGGTATATTATTATAATCTTAGGAGTTAGCTTAAAGGTATAGTTATCTTATTCCCTTTTTTAGTTTTATTACTAATACTTTTTAACTACTTTAGTAACTTTTAAAATATTCTTTATTAGTTCTTATATATCTTCTTTATATCTATATCCTTTCTATTTAATAAAGTATTAATAGGTATTAGATTTCTAAATATAGTTTAGAATTTATTTAACCTTATATTATAGTTCTTTATCTTTTATAATAATAATATTATTTATTTATAATCCTTATAGGGTTAGTTTAAGGAGTGAGATATAGAAAGTTAAGTAGTATCTTATTATTCCTAATAAGTTAAGTTTATAGTTAATAGGTAAGACTTCTTTAAGGATTTTAAAAGGTTTAAGTTTTTTATAGTTAAGTTTATTATATAGTCTTTTTATTTTAATATTTCGCTATATAAGGTAGGTGCTATCTCTTTCTTTTAAAGTTAATCCTTTAATCCTTTATTTATTAGTAAATTTAGTTATTTATTATTATATAAATTTAAGTTCTTTTTATATAATATCTTAGATATTTTTAATTTATCTTACTAAAGTAATAGCTTTTATTATTATAGGTTTAGGTTAGGGTTCTCTATAGGTAGTTAGTTTAAATCTATAATTTAAGTAGAAGGGGGACTTTTTAGTATTTTCTCTAATTATATTATTATAAATAAACTAAGTAATTAGTAGTAATATAACCTAATTATCTTAGTTATAAT